CCCCGTTTCCTTTTTACTTTACTTCCCTCTATCTCTGCATTTCTACCTCTTTTACTCTATTATCCAACCCCGCCCCACCCCAGTTCCCATTTCCCCTTGTCGGTCCTCATCAGTTCTATATATGTTAACCTCGATCTTTCCCTTTTGTCCATTCTCTCCCACAAACAACCTCGGCCAAACACGCAATCCTTGATTGATCCTGTTTCGCGCTTTTTTGCATGCAAGACACAAACAGCTTGCTATTTTTTATGCTTCTGTTCTGTCTGTGGACATATGTTTGAGTTATCAGGAAAGGAATGGCCAAAACACAGGACACGATGGACACGATATTCTGAAACGTTCCTGGTGGGGCATAGTTATTTAAAAAATAAATACAACTGAAGTAACAAATTTGTGTTGAATTGTTCATATACAAACTTTCACCATTCCAGAAAGGATACGCCAGACGGGGTGAGATAGAGAGATAGAGAGATAGAGAGATAGAGAGATTTTTTTTGCTAATCTGTGACGTTTAGATGTCAAGCAATCCAACTGGAAGTAAGATGTTATTATATCACATACGCATGGAGAAGCAGATTAGGACAAATGTAATATTAGGGACAATACAAAAAGGAAGACATGGCAGTTATTATGAAAGGCCTTGTCGACAGCCCATACAAGAATGTGATAAATAATGTCTGCTCTCGCGCCGAGACAACGTTACAGATGCGGAGGGGGGAAGCATCAGACAGACTAGTTTTGGGCAAAAGTAAAAAGTAAAATTGTTCCCACATCCGATCTGGACATTGGGGATTGTCATGGCAGTGAGACAACATCCTGGGCCTTCGGCATGTTGTGGTAGAGTTGTCAGTTCCTTTCCACGTCGACTTTACTTCCCCAACTCGAAGTCACTACTGATGGGTGGGTAGGAAGGTCAGAACAAATCCATATCCGAACCGAGGCTTGAACCCGGTCATACTCAGTGGACAAAGATTAAATAATATAACCCCAATATACTATTCGCACACCCCCACAATAACAGCTCGTTGTTCCCTGTTTTTGTTGTTGTTGTTGTTGTTGTTGTTGTTGTTGTTGTTGTTGTTTTTGGGGGGGCGTTTTTAAAAACCTTCTACACTCCGACGGCTACCTGGGATAATGCCAAGTTCTATACTGGGTGGAAAGTAAGTGTGTGTGTTTTTGTGTGTGTGTGTGTG